AAATACGTTATGTTGTAGATGTAATATTCATCTGATGGTAACATTAGAATAAGCTCGACAAAAATAAAAACTCTGACGCATCAAAACTGTAGTAAATTAAAATTTACATCTGGAACAACGTATAATTGAATTTGTTCCTGGGTTCTCTTGTTCTCTTGGGAATTACACGGTGATTGATTGGTTTGTAGATTATGTAATGTTATATGCCTTTTACAAAATATCAGTAAGAAAGTTGAGAAATGAGATTTATTGTTATCAATAGCTAAAAAATCAACGTTGTGAGAGCGCAATGATTTGAAAACTAACAATTTACTGGGATGACGTCATCAAGTTCTTGAAGGAGACAAATACATTTTACTTAATGTTGATAATGTTTTCTCTTATTAGAATATTAATAGGTGTGTATGTATAAGTAAGGTTAAAAGTAGTTAATTATTAATTCACAAGTAAAGAAGTAATATGCTGTTGTGGTGAACTTTTAAAGTGAGATTCATTCGACATTTTCAGATGAGTATTTATAATATTTTCTAATAAAGTCATTTGATCTTCTTGATAACTTGGGGCGTGTTTTTGTCACACAATATGCATAAGATTTCGCTGGTTACCTGCTATTCGGTAAGAGAATATTATCCATAGGTATCATTTTGTTTAGAGAGATACTTCATTTTTAAAATAACAAAATTCGACATTAAATTACATCATTTCTATTATGTTTTTATCAAATTTCGTTGGTGACTTTATACCGTTTTAGAAGAAATATTTGTTTGAGTTTACACAATGTAATTTTACTAAATTATTCATTCGAAACGAAATTGTAAGACTCAGTTTTTAAAATGCAAATTAAAAATCCTTCATGAAATATTTAATGAAACATTATGGCTTAATCTGGAAAATTTGATTTGTTGAATTTAATTACATACTTAATTAATCGCATGATTAAATTAACAATGCTTTTATCACCGGATCGTAATTAGTCTAAGACGTACTTTTAATTATTTCATGATAAAAAAGACGCAAAAAAACATAAACTAAGAAACTGTGCGGTTTTTTAACCACTTTATTTATTAATTATATGTTAAGTCACACGAAGTTAAGAATCTTTCTTGCTCCTAAAATGGAACCGTGTTTCCACAGCATTTGAGCAAAACATAACGCTCTTCCGTCGGTGGTTAACTTTATTTAGTAAGTTACTTTAGTAGTTTGTAGGTACTTAATTTATTTTCGATTAAAAAATGCTACACTTTTAAACTAAATTTTCTTATTTTAAAATTATTTCATTAAGCTAAACCAGCTTTCAAGCACAAAACAAAACTGCAGACGTGTTCTTTTGTAACGAACCATTTTCACGGATACAAAAGCAGAGCCCATAAGATCAGTGCTATTATTTTTCGTTTATAACGATCTCTGATATAATGAATTACCTGTAATAAAGAAGAGTTTTTCCCTTCCGAATAAGGAACATGTCGTTTATAATGAACCGTCAAATGTGACTTCATTGCTGACAAAATAAGAAATCTTTAATAAACTGTATGGGTATTTATCCCTCATCTTCAAACGATCATCGTGACTTGCTATGCAATTTTCAGTCTTACAATTGCACTTGCAGTCAGTCACTATCATGGCACACAAATAGTGATATACAAAATTTTTTTATATAAAAAATATCATATATTATATAATTAAATAATAACAAAATGGTGTAAAAAAAGTCCCTTTGTAAAGAAACGGCTTTAAATAAGTCAATAGTCGATATAACTTCGAAAAAGAAAGATCAGATGTTGACAAAAATAATGAATGTGAAAATAGTGATTTAAAAAACTTTGAAAACCGAATCACAACGTCCTGGATGAAAGTTTATTGAAGTGGTTTTCCAATAGTTGAGAAGAATCTTAGGAATTTTGCACATAAAAGTACAAGAATTAGGACGTAAATTGGGAAGTCAAGAGTTCACCTACGGTTGTAATTGGATGGAGCAATTTAAAAAAGACAAGTATAGGTCTGGCGACAAGGCAGCAACTGTTAGAAAAATGGTTATGAAAAAACTGACCAAAATTATTTTTACTTCGCAAGCCTAAGCTAAGTAAGTACATATTAAAATAAGGTCCATCCAGCCAATAACTACTTTCATGTTTTCTCAATGTTTCATGACCCCTAAAATACGAAACAATGGGTCTCTCGTTTCCGTCTGTCCATCGGGGCTGTCAGTTTTTATAAGACGAATAATCTCCGAAACGATTGGATGGATTATATTATTGGCAAATTTTATAGTGATTTAAGCATATCGTTAGATGATGAAACGCTGACCAAAATTTGTCTAATCATCTCTACCAACAATTTGATGACATCCTCACATCGTTTTCCGTAGTAAAGATTCTAATTTTTTTTAAATAAAGTACTCTTCAACTCGTGATGTATGAATCCGCCTTGATTTGTATCACAATTAGTGTACATTTTTGTTGTGCTATATTTTCTACGTGCTTCAAGGTGCCGATATCTTCCTCATGTATCAAATACCTCTCACTCGAATTGGTTAAGAATGGGTTTTCAGTAAATTTAACAAAGAAATGAACGAAAAAGTGGGAAAAACTGTGGTATTACAGGACTTTGAGTACATTTTCGAACTCACGTGTAGTTTTGTATACTTGGAATTTTATACTAAGAAATCAGTTGCTTATAATCTCCGCTTTAAAGCAATTCTATTTTAATCATGTAATACTTAACAAAATACGCTATTTCATGTCCTTATATTTTTGCCAAGAAAACGATTTTTGGAATTTGTTAACTTTTTTAAAATACTTACTTGTATTTTGTGCTTTCTTTGATCGAGTTTTTTATTCCTCTCTCTCTCAAAATTTGTAGTAAGTGTAAAATTTAATTCCTTTAACATACATTTTAGTTATGGTGAAAATATGCACAGCATAAGTTTAATTCTCCAATTCACATTCAATTTATCTTAAATCTGCTGGAATTTTTATGTTCACTGGGCACTTACGAACCACACAAAGTCTTGCACCAGAATCGATCTGTGAAAATTAATTTAAAACTACTACTTGTTTACAATACAAATTTCATAGATGAAAATTTACACACAAACAATCTAAATTCGACCATACCACTTGTGGTTCCGCCGGAAGTGATAAAAACTTTTGTTATTGGAATTTAGTCGTTTTTTTCGTCTTCTTTTTTGAAAATGTTTATTTTATTTGTTATTTTAGGCAATAAGGTATTTCATAATAAATTTTCAAGCCTGGAAACCGTTTTCATTAATTTTTGTAATTCAAATGCCAACTTACTGTCTAACTGTTCGACGAAAAAATCATCATTCCTACCCTACTGCTTTAGTTACAATAATTTCAGTGATAATGAAGGATCTGTTAGATAATTTTGTTATGTAACTTGTTGTAATTTTCAAATTTGTGTTGTTGGACGAGTGTTTTTTTTTTTTAATCTAAAATACCAGTCATTTTCATTTTAAAAATGCCTTAAATACTCGTGAAACTGCTGCAACCCATCTTGAAATACAGTTCCAAATTTTCGTTTGTAGATTCTTTTCTGCTAAATTTATTTCTGACAGAGGTAATAGTTTCTGGATACAGTTTACTAGATCAGATAAAATGAAACAACTTTAGTTTGTTCCATCAGAATTTAGATGAAAATAAATAGTGTCGATCATAAGAAATAACTGTTGTTTTTTAATGCTGTAATTTTTGGTAATAGTAAAGAAAAATGGAGCTAGCAATTCATATTTTGCCAATGGGTGCATATAAACACCAGAAAAAAATGTAATCATAACACCTCTGTAGTAACAAAAAAAATGTGATCGTAACACCCCTGTGGTAACAAAACTCGGTAGTTAAATACTGGAAAGTGAAGTTTCTCTTTGTCTATAGGGATCACTTCGCCTCATTCATTATCTTTAAGTTTAGAGATTTTGGGAAATTGAATAGTTATTTTGTATATTAATAGTGGGATCGTGATTCTTCTTATGTTAATACAATTAATCGTTCCTAATACGAATTTAATTGTTGTTCCCAGTATTGAAGATTCTTTTAATTACAAACCGAAGTTTACCATTACCAATTCTTCCTATTAGATACATCTTTTACTCTTTTAGTTCTTTTATTTAACTGCTTTTTGATCTCATCTGCTATAATTTCTACTTAGTGAAAATGAACAACCAAAATAGATCTAAAATACTTCGTGCCATCAAAACGTGTGTAAAAGTGATAATGAAGATAATAGTATATTATAACGCGCACGGAATTGTACTCATTTATCACAAATTTCATGAGAGCGGAACAAGTTCTCAACAGTTGTGCACTGTACTTTCACTATAATTTTTGTTATAAATGAGAAATTGCTTTAGCCGTTCGCTTCGTCGTCATTTAATGAAAACTTTTATAAACAGTTTCGCTTCTGTGTTAATTCTGCTGAGTAAAATTTGTGAATAACTTTAACTGCTGAATTTTGGACAAATGAAGGGGCACGCAAGTGCAAAATGTTTGCATATTTTTATTCGACTTTTGTTAAATTAAGTTTTCCATCCTTTTACAAAGATGGTAACTTATTGCTGTAAAAATTGCCAACCCTTCGGTAGGAAAAGCACTTTTTCAGGCTTGAGACTCTTAGGGTTTTACGGTAGAATATGCGAATACCGTGTTTTTAGATTTTCCGTGTTTATGAATCTTTTACTGGACATTCTACAGGTAGTATTCCCCAACCAATGGATATGTAGACACAAAAATCTCAAGATAATTAAAACTTAAACTTAACGTAATAATAATTTAAAAGGGTTTCCATCGATAGTGAAAGAAAGTAAGCTAATATTGTTATCATGCATCATCTAATAAAGGCGTAAACGTGTGATGAAACAATTGACGAAGCAATGCTCTAATCTCACCGAACAAGCAAAACAGCACTTCGAAATACCCTTTGCATAAGACTACATAATTGAAACAAAACCCTATTTGCACTAAACCCCCTTCCACTAAGCACAGTACCCGACGGTGATGACTCCGGGTGCTCTGTTCCTGATATCGTTCGAGATGGCCTCCACCAAACCCGGAAGTAGATATTTTTCGGCTTCCCTTCTGAGGCGCTCTCGTTCCCGGAAGCATTCTGGCAAGACGACGGTGCCGTCGCGTAAGAAATCCAAAACGTACCGAAACAGCACGCCGTCGCGATCTAGAAAGTATCGACCCTTCGCATCCTGGGTGACGGGTTCGCGACCGGTGAAAATAGCATGTAGCTGCGAGTCAGGCTGACTGATTAGCGTCTTCAAGGTGGTAGTATACAACACGCCGCCGATGTTCAGTTCTATGACCGAAGGGAAATCGCACCCCGACATTGTTGCAGAGAGCCTGCCTAAGCCGAACTGGGCTAGGAGGGCGGCGAGAGCCACCCCTCGCTGCTGGTCGGCCATTGACGGAACGAAGGACGATGCCAGGCGAAGGGCTTGGAAATACTTTTATAGAAGGATCAAGTTTTTTGCAAGAGTGACACAGGGAGAGAAGCTGGGATGGGTTTATGATTACTGCAGGTTTCAAGAGTAACGTAATGGCTTAGTTCTGTCAGAGGTGGCATAAAATTTAATTCGATTTTCGTAGTTATAATTCTATATTAATTAATAAGTAAACAGGTAAGAAAGAAAGAATGAATAGAATGAAAATCTTATTTATAACAAGTTTATATTGACGAAATTTATAAAACACGCAAAAAATTTTATTTACGTGGCACGAAACTATCACTGCATTCAATAGCTATTTGAAAAATAAATTAAGATGTCTTGGTTGTAAAAGTTTGATCTATAGATTTGATAAAACATTAATAAGAAAATAATTTGGAAAATTCGTAGTTGCTAATAATAACCACGATAATCAAATGACAACATCTAATAGTAATAAATACTTAAAACACTTTATGCAACCATTCTATGAGGAACTTGACAAGAAGCACAGATGTGCTTTAATTTGGTAAAAAAAATTGGTCCAAGGTTACTTTGACAGAACTTCCCTCGCTCTTGAAGTACAGTCCAACAGGTTTCTGATAAACTTTCTACACATATATTAAAAACCAGTGGTGTAAATGACACCTCGAATCATCTGTGCCGATAAAATGTTCTTCAACACTGTCTGAAGCTCAAATGTTTACTTATGTTTACACATCGAAAGAATGTCAGGTAGAAATTAGTTTAATTTGCGTGAGTTTCACTTCTTAAAATAGAGGACTAAAATTATTAATTAAATCACAATCAAACAAAATGTGAATATTATCATTATTATATAAAGACGTGCGTATTCTCACTTTTCCGAGAAAATGGGGAGATTTGTTCTTAATTTGACCAATGAAAAACTTGTTATGACGTCATAAACATAGATATACACAATGAGAGAGAAAAAGAGAAAAAAGAAAACGAAAGGCCAAGTTCGGCATTGACCCGGGACCTCCGATCCGCATTTCTCACACTTATGCCCGGGACGACGATCGTAATGTCTTACGTTAATTTGGAGGGTTAGGAAAAAAACTCAAAGCGGATTCGTCATTACACGTATAGGAGTACATTGTTGTATAACAGTTAAATCAAATAAACATAATAGAATTTATAATATACATACAGTAAAATTTGACAACCATTCGTCCAGCAGTTTTGGTGATTATCTGTCTAATAAAAATAGACACAGACACCAGACAGACTGACAATAAACAAAAACGGGGGACGGGGGGACTACTTTTTTCGTACTGTAGGGATCATGAAACGTAGAAAAAGTATATAAGTGGCCATTCGTCCGATTACTATACATATTTCATTAGCTTACGCTCGGGAACTAAAAATATGTAGAATGATCATTTAGATTTAAACGTGCCTGTTACTTAAAATGTAAATATAATTGATACTTTTTCGAAAAAAATTAAATTTTGTGTTTCCATAAATCGTTACTATCATTTTAACTTTGGACTTTTTGGATAAAACAAGGACTAATAATGTGTAAATGAAAATCAAGTTGTTAAAGTTTTCTACATTTCTGCTAAAGTCACGGAAAAATGTTTTATAAATTCTAAAATCTATTAATAACTTTTTAGGTAGCACGGTTAGAAATAAGTGAAAATTATCTCCATCTTCTTTATTATGAGCTCCATCCCAGTTCAGTTGGTCCAGTTTCGAACAATTTTTTATGACAATTTAACTAACAGAAATTTGTAACATCATTCAAATTTTTTTTTTTTTCTAATATCTAAGTATTTTCCAACATTTTATGGCTACATCAACCAAGTACAGGATTTCTATAAATGATGATAGAGTCGAAGTCATGAACACGTACCGCCTCTCAGTTTGGACCTTACTAAATATCCAAGGGTGCACGACAATTACCACACGCATGACTGATTGCCTAAATGCTTGATACCTTTTTAAAAAACAAAACTAATTCATTACAATAAAAAGAAACAAATTTATTGCTATTAAACATGACAGTAAATGTTGAAAATGTTCACCATTTTGTTCATGGCACATGTTCACTCTCTTTGTAATTTCAAAAGTGTTCTGTAATCCATTCGGAAATGCCCATTGTTCAATTTCATGTTGCAACAGGAACTCCTGTTTGCTGAGGAAATTGTGTAAAAGATGTTTGCGCATTCTGCTGAAGTCGTCTCAAATCTTCAACAACTTCTTCAGATACTGAACATCTCCTACGAGATTTCCTTTTGTTGGCACTGCCAGTTCGGACAAATCGTTTGATTACACCTCTAATGTGAGCCTCTAACGATGTTTCTTGAATTATTAAATCACTGTATTTGTCCAGATATTCCTGTTTACAAGCGGTTACAGAATACACGTACTTTTCGTTTACGAAGTCCCATTGCGATAACAACACATAACAATGAAAGTGTCTTGTTCAATAGAATAAACCATTTTCACAGTTTTCGCTTCCTAGCACAAAAACACAATTTTCGTATACGCAACCGCCAAGAGTTTTGAAAATAACTATTTTATTGTTTTGAGCTTGGATCAACGAGAATTACTGTAATTTAGACTTGAAAGACATTAAAATAATGAGGCATAATTAAAGCGAAGCGGGATTTTTGAAATCCATGGTCAACTACACCCTTAGAATCATTTATAACAACCCTGTAATTTTTTTATAAAAATCACTTTGCCTAGGAGAAAAACTGAACACGGATTCATAAACTACAAGTGGACGAATATGTTATTTTATAAAATTTAAATAACATTTACTATTGTAACAGTTGGAGATGACGTCATGTCATTGTTGATGGAGATGATTAGACAAATGTTAGTTAGCCTTTTACTATCTACACCATTTTCATAATATACATACAAAATTTTATAACAATTGGTATGATAGTTTAGTCTGTCTAATAAAAATCGACACAGACACGGTCAGACGGCAGACAGACAGAAGGAAACGCCCGACCTATGTTTTCGTTTTAAGGGTCATGAAACGTCGAGTAAACATAAAAGTAGCCAGTCGCCCCATAGACTCGATTACAATACTTCCTTGGGTTACACCGGAGAAGTAAAAAGTAGAATCTAGATCACGATCACATTCACCTTCATCACAAATAAAATCAACTTCAGCATCTTTGACTAGTGCTCAGCATTCCTCAAGAAATTTAGATTCAAATAAAGATTTAAATTTTGAAAAACAATTCAAATTGGAAAAACATTTATTATCATTAGATATAAGATACCCGAAATATCAACTAAATTGAAATCATTAAATGCACACATTACAAACACAAGAGAACACAAGAAAAGGAAAATTGATTATTTATAGTTACTATGTTATATTTAAAAATTCGTTTCTATGAAAAATCTCCTTAATAGGGACAAACGGGAAGCGACGGTATAAGTATTTTTTTTCTTCAGGTCAGAAACACAAGACATTGCATACCCCAATTGATAAATACGAAGTCTCACTTTACTGCTTTGGCAAAAAAAAAATCTGTCTAGGCTGCAAAAGTTTTTTGCCGTCGCTAAATCAACCAATGAAATTTAAGTCTTATATATTGATGTTGATGTTCTTAATGTCACTGTCAGTTGTCACAATTCAGTTGGTCAGAATCGAGTTATAATATTTATTATTACATGTTTTTATTAATTAACTTTAAATGTATCTAATAAGAAGGTATTTTGATCAGTTATGCTAGAACTTGTCCTCTACAGATTTTAAAGGTGGCATACTTAGGTGTTTTAAGTAGCTGGAATTGGAATTGGAACCAGCAGAAAAGGCCTTTGGGTGAGTTAATTTGCCACTGACCTATTTTCACGTGAAAGTGAAAAACTATCGATACTGAAAGAAAAAATCACAAGGTTGTAGAGTATAGTGACTCCATTTTTGCTGCTTAGGCTGTTTTCTGTCGCTCATCAGCAGCAGAAAAAGTGAGGGGTATACTTGCCTGTTTGACTTGTGATCAATTGATCATGATCAAAAGTGTTTTTGAATTTTTACTTCCCGAGCGTAAGCAAAGGAAGTATTGTAATCGAGTCCGTCGGCCGACTCTCTACTTTTACGTTTTCTCGATCTTTCATGACCCCTAGAAGACGAAGAAATAGGTCTCCCATTTCCGTCTGTCTGTCCGTCTGTCCGTCTGTCCGTCTGTCCGTCTGTCCGTCTGTCCGTCTGTCCGTCTGTTGTCACGGATTTTTATTAGACAGATAATCTCCGAAAGTACTCGACCGATTGTTGTGAAATTTTGTACTTATATTAAGAATATCATGTAGATGGTAAAACGCTAACCAAAATTTGTCGAATCATCCCCACCACTAAAGCGATGACGTCACTTCAAAATTGTACATAGTAAATGGGTTTTCAATTGTATAAAATAACATAGTCCTACACATGTAGTTTACAACTCTGAATCGACTTTTCACCCGAAACGTCCAGATTTTTGGAAAAAAAATCAAAATTATAAAACAACATTTTGAAATTTAATTTTTAATCTGCTAACCAGAATGCTTTGAAATGTTGCAGATGTTTTAAGGCTATAAAGAGCATCATAAATCTTTAGTCAAAAAATATTTGCTTATCCCCTCCAAAAACTTGATGACGTCAGCTCAAAAGTTTGTGGAATAAATCATATCTAAAATGTACAAAATATGATGAGTCTGTACTTGTGAACTATCACTCCATTAATATTTTTTGGATTTGCATATACAGGGTGACTCAAAAAAATTAATGAATGCGTAAATATATTTTATTGATTTAATCAGGAACTACAAAACCGAATGCTCTGAAATCTTGCAGATGTTTTAAGGTCATAAAGAGCATAATAAATGTTTAGTCAAAATATATTTGCTTATCCCCTCCAAAAACTTGATGACGTCAGCTCGAAAGTTTGCCGAATAAATCATATCTAAAATGT